CTCTCTCTCTCTCTCTCTCTCTCTCTCTCTCTCTCTCTCTCTCTCTCTCTCTCTCTCTCTCTCTCTTTCTCTCTCTCTCCCCATGTCTGGTGTTATTTCCAGGCATAATTACATGGGTATCAGTTGACTGAGCTACAAATTTGGCTCATAAACATTGTGGCGTTATGCTGTCTTATAGCACGTATGCTAGTTTGTCCATTTTACTATCGCTGAGGTCGATATGCATGAATAAACCAATCATAAAACTGCTTTTAAAAATTTAAAAAGCCGCTTCATGATTTTGCTCGACAAGAATACAAGTTTGTACGAAAAGGAAGCATCAGCAAATGTCATCGCAGACACTTTTTGGAACTTTTCTTGCCAGTTTCCCTGATCTGAAATCTCCAGTTTCTGGAAAAACACTACAGGGAGCCTGTGCATTTGAGAATTGAACTGGAAAATGTCAGTGGGTTCTTGGACGAGTGTCCTGCTGCTACTGCTGCTACTGCTGCAGCGGAGCCAGTCTAGACTAAATTAGCATTTGAAAAACCTTTAGTTTGGAGTTAGGATTGGATTTGGGTTCGGTAAGAGCAGTGATTCTTAACCCTCGGGCCCAAACTTGGGCTGCCAGCGCCACCTAGAGGGCCGCAAAACATTTTCATCTTGCACCTGTGGCTAGCGGGACTGCGTAGGTTATCAATAGAAAACATAATCCTTGAGAAGCATAGGTACAATTCAGCTTATGACCACATGGTGGCGGTTACATGCCAGTCAGGATCTTCTTCTCTAAACTAGCTGTAGAAAAAATAAAATTAAAGATTTTATTAAAGCAGCTAAATACCCGCAATGAGGGTCGTTGCAGAAAACAAGGTTAGAGGTGTGAATGGGAAGAAGCCTCTTGGATGAGAGGTGAAATGTCTTCAAGAAACCTACTCTGTCCAGTTGCCCTCGATGTAATTATTTCTGGTTTGAAAAGCCATTTTTTGAAACTAAATTCCCGAAGCAAAAGAAGCAGTTAAACAATTCCCCATTATGTAGTATCACCTTAAACACAGAAACCAGTAATTTCATGGATTTTGATGGACAAAACGTAGCATTAAAACGTAATCATGTTAAGTTGGACTCGCGGAGACTGAGAATAACATGAGTGGGTAAAAGATCCAATGGGAGCGCTGCCTTCAGAGGCACAGGGTGAGAAAATTAACATGTTCCACTGTTGTTAATGAAGGGCTTAATAAATGATAACAAAAATAGCAGTGCTTTGGGGAAATGTCAATGAACGGTGCTACATTTTTTTAAAGGAAGAACATTATATTCCCAGCTAACAAAAATCTAAAAAGAATAAGAGCAATGAAATATACACACGTAGTTAAAAATGTATAAATAAAGTGATAAATATGCTAATATAGTAACTGCTAATAGAAACAAAGTGCATTATAATGTTTTTGAACTGTGATTTTGATATTAAAATAATGTGCGTTTTTTTTAGTTTGTGTGATGAAACGATCCTCTTAAACCTGAGTGCGTGGGCAAAAAAAAAAAAAATAGAGCTAAGACGTCATTTTTTATTCAAAATCATAAATCACTCAAAAATGAATACCAAACACATCTCAATCAATTACTCACTTAGTTCTCCTGCAAATTTGGTTAAAGCGGCGTCAGGTGGAAACCGAACAGTAATCGTAATTACAGTATTTTAGAATATTACTTCACAGCCGTCATGTGAATATAAGAAGTATTAGGTTGGAGGTGAGGAGAACTGACCCTCCCTCCTTCGCCCACTCCTCCTCCGGCCGATGAATATTTAAACTCACCTGACTTGCACTGGACTGCGTCCTTCTGAGGCCTCACTGCTTCGACATACACCATAATATCCAATACAGGGTGACTGCCAAGTACACAAAGCCTCACGCCGTATTACTTTCTATTTTTCCTCCATAAGGATCGACTTTTAAACAATCACACCTTAAAGAAAAGGGGGCTCTTCACCTCGGGCTTGACATTAAAAAGCTATTTATCTTCCAGCGTGGACTTTAATTTTTTATTTCTTGATTTAACCTTTATTTATCTTGGGAAATAAAGTGAGAATGTAGTCTGCAGAAGTGCTTCACCCAAGACTGGTTCATATCTGTTTATTTATTCCAGAGAGATGGACGAGATGCTCTGTACCGGAAAAATCATTTACGTGTACTTTAGCAGCACACCTAATGTCTGTGAGGGTTTTGTCCAATAGCCTCTTAGCAGCGGTGTCTTGATGATAGAGGATGTGGTTATCTGATAGGTTTAGAAATTCTGCCCCTTGAGAACTTTGAATGATGATTTGGCAAAAGGAAAAAAAAAAGTAAAAACATTATTTTGATATTAAGTATTTATTCATGAAAAATTGTAAAAACAGGAGTTAGGAAAAAAGGTTTTGCTATATATATATATATACAGTATATACCTAACATGACTGAGTGCTGGCTTTAATAATGGATTACTTTGTTCAAAGAACAAAAAAAGTGGATCGCCGTTTGTACGTATCTGCTGAATCGCTGCTTCTCTCAAAAAAAAAAAGTTTTGCGAAAAATAAATATATAAAAAAATGTAGCAAAAGTGCAGAGCAGATTGTAACAACCCAGTTACATTTTCTACAACAATCTTTGAACAGTTAAACTTAAGCTCGTAGGTCGTGTTATTACTCAGTCGGTATGAAGTTTCTGCCAAATCCAGTACACCGCAAACCAGTTTCTGGGGGGGGGAAAAAAAAAAAATCCTCTTCTGTTATAATCCTCACATTTATTTTACCGCGTAGAATGACTGTCATACTCAGGCTCTGATTGGCCGCTTAATCTCCCCCACGGCATTATAACACACTGCGGTGTTGCCAGGTCGCCTGAGCCTCTGACGTGTGTGTGCAGCCTTATGAAGGTCCCGGAGGCAGTCAGCAGGTCCA